AAACCGGTTTCGGCTATTTTTTTAAAATATTTTTTTTTTTATTGATTTCAGAGAGGGAGGGAGGGGGAGGGGGAGAGAGAGAGAGAGAGAGAGAGGATGATGATGAGAGTGAATCATTGATCGGCTGCCTCCTGCACGCCCCCCACTGGGGATCAAGCCCGCAGCCTGGGCATGTGCTCTGACTGGGAATCGAACTGTGACCTCCTCGTTCATAGGTTGACGCTCATAGGTCGAGGCTCAACCACTGAGCCACGCTGGCCAGACCAGGTGGACTTTCAGTGTAAGTGCTTTCAAGGCTGAGTTTCTGAGTTAGTGATATGGATCTTCTATGTGTTTTTAGTGAGACCCTCTTGTCCATTTGTCCCTGTCTTTCAGAAGGAAACATTTCTCCTTAAAGCAAGGTGGTGACGTTGCTTCCCCGTGTGGAGTGGAGAGGCTTTCTTTTTTAAAAGATTCTTGCCATTTAGTGTGTGAAATCAGGAAGATAGCAAACAAACAGATATTACTGTTTCTCTGGAATCTATTTTTGTTTTGGTGAATGTGGTTTCTGAGCTTTTCAGGAGGAGTTGACTACTCTGTCTCCATTTTTGCAAAGCACAAGTTGCCTTTCAGGAAACATGTAGCATTTAGGCACGTTTTTTTTGTAATTGGTCAGCAGCTCATCATTAAATAAAATTGGTGGCTTGTGATCATGCCGGTCTTACTCATCAAAAATCCTTCGTTATAGTGGCAGCAGGAAGAAGGAAATAAGGAGATTTTAAACAACAGTTTTAAATTTGGGAGGTGGTAGGAGAGGACACTCAAAACATTTCATTATGGCCCAGCTGGTGTGCCTCAGGGGTTGAGCGTTGACCTATGAACCAGGAGGTCAAAGTTTGATTCCCGGTTTGGACACATGCCGGGGATGTGCAGGAGGCAGCCAATAATGATTGTTCTCATCATTGATGTTTCTACCTCACTCGCCCTTTCCCTTCCTTTCTGAAATCAATTTAAAAAATATTAAAAAAAAAACAAACACAATAAACCATTTCCTTATGTTCTACTAGGTAAGGAGATTTCTATGCTTATGTCATCCATCATTTTTGATCTTTAACCCAAAAACTTTCTTAGCCAGGATTCTCTGCTAAGCCACAGAATAGGAAAATGGCCTCAGTATTTTCTCAGTTTTCCCAAGGTGTTCATGTAAGGAACTGTGAGGTTCGAAATTGTACTCTGCTTGCCAGCTTCCCTAATTGCCGGTGGTGGTGTCGTGGATGCTGGCAGCGGACTCCACTGATCATAGCAGTGCCTATCAGGCGTGTCACTTCCTGTCCCAATTCCCCTCAGCTGGTGCCTTTGGGCCAGGCAACACCTCCATGGAGTGTGACAGGAGAGGAACCTGGAGTTTAGGAAACCCAGATCTTTTAGGAAGGGCAGTAAACCTGCCCTTTGCTCCAGGAAAGTCACAATCTCGATCTGCCCTGTTTGCTCTATAATCCCGAACAAAGGCAGCCAGTGCCTCTGTTTGTAACATATGCAGAAACACGAGAGACACACAGAGAATTGTCTCCCAACATATAGGTGGCTAGAAACATTCTAGATGTACAGGAGAGATGCTCATTCATTGTGAATGCCTTGGAGCTTAATTCGCTCCTAGCAGACAGGTTGAGAAGAACTGCTAGACCAGTGGTTCTCAACCTTCCTAATGCCGCGACCCTTTAATACAGTTCCTCATGTTGTGGTGACTCCCAATTTCATTGTTACAAATTGAACATAATTAAAGCATAGTAATTAATCACAAAAACAATATGTAATTATATATGTGTTTTCCGATGGTCTTAGGCGACCCCTGTGAAAGGGTCGTTGGACCCCCAAAGGGGTCGCGACCCGCAGGTTGAAAACCGCTGTGCTAAACCTTTGCTATGGGCCACCATTTCCAAAATAGCTTAGTATTCCTCTACAATGTTTTAAATCAAAGAAGAGAAAGGAAGAGTGTATCAGAACTTTTAGAAATTTTCCTCTACTGCTTTTTGAGAAAATATAAGTATTATATTTTAAAGAATTAAATTGTTAAAAAAATGTTGATACTTATTAACACACACACACACACACACACACCCCCTACCCAAATTCTGGAAGGTAGGAGATGGTTTACAAAAAGAAGCTCATGTTTATAATTGCTTGGCTTCAGAACAATATGGCCAGTTTGCTTAGGGAGAAGCCTATGAAATACACCCTCACCCGACCGCTGCTGTCTGAGGTAAGATTTCATGTTCAGGTCTTCAGTGTATTTATTTAACCACTTCTTGCTCCTCCCATTCCTTCCCAGTGAAAAAGTCTCTGAAAAGTTTCTTGTATCCAAGCAGCTACTCTGTTCTGTTTCCAAACTTTGTTTTGTTCGCGTGGGTCTCCTCCTCCATAGGACTTCGATTCTCCACGTGACTTCTTACGCCTCGTCTCCAGACCTGTGTTTTGCTGCCTGTTATGAACGTCCCAGCTTGCAATGTTTGTGCCCACTTGGGATTCTGGAATCCAGAGAGGCACTAGCTGAGGCTTCTGAGATATTGTGGAGAAGACGGAAACTCCACTACAGAAATTTAAGTCTAAGTGGGAAGTCTGACAGGCTGTCCTGGTGAGCTGGTCAGTGTTGGGTCATGTAACACATCTATATTTTAAACGACAAGAAAAAGATCACAGAGAACAAACAAACGAACAAAAAAGGTCGAGAACTGGACCCAGGAAAAGGCTGCTGATTCTGAGTTCTGCTTTGGGACAAGAAGGAGAAAGCCCAGCTACGGCCCTTACCTTCTGCATCCGCCATTCCAACAATTCTTTTGCTTTCTGAAAATGTTATTTTCCCTTTATTTAAAAAAAACAACAGAACAAACAGACTTTTTTTAAAAGAAAGATGTGATGATTACGTAGATAACTATAGAATTTATGATCTGTGTTTTTAAAGAGCCTTATAAATATAGTCACATTGTTTATCTTTATCCCATCACTGTCCTCCCTCTGAGCAGATGGATGACCATCATTTAATCGCTTGGCTATTTATGACCAGAAAGAGTTGACGGGGGTGTGGTAAGACATCTCATCTTCCACCACCACCACCGCCCTTGTTCAAGCACCTTGAATCATTGCTAGGAGACAAAATGGCGATTGTTTGGCTAATGGCAGTCTTAAATTCTCTGTCAGAGCTCCACTCACCCTTCCTCTCCCTTCCTGATTAGGAAGACATTTTCAGGTGAAGAATGGAGTGACTTTTGCTGCTGGTGACACAGATCACTTTGAGAGTTATGGGTGTCTTTGCTGTGTACGAGATAGGTTTTGTGACTTCCAAATGAACGGCTGGATAGGGGTGTTATAAATAAGTCATTCAAAGAACAATGTTTTTTAAAAGCACATCCCCTACCCCCTTTTCCTGATCAAAGGATAGGAAACCTGTGAGCTAAATATCAAGTCAATAGTGGAATATTTCAGGTACCTGATTTATAAAATCCAACTTTAGTTATAGAACACCTAGATTTATTGTTCGGATGTTGGTCAAAGACTTCGTGTGACTAGCAGTCTTCCGGGCCATTGAAGTATACAGAAAGAGCTAAAGACTTGCTCTTGCCCAGAAGGCAAGAGAAGTATCGGAAACTATCACAGAACAGCTCAGGTCAACCTGCCCTCCTGTTTATTGGTGTGATGGGCCTTAGGGAAGATCGGTGACTTAGGCCAAAGGAGAAGTATTGGGGTGACGAGCTGAGCTGAGCTGAGCTAGAGACAGCTTTGACCAGGCAGAGGGACTGGGGAGGCTGAGAGTTGAGGAGAAACGGGAGGCAGAGTGTGTGTCAAACTCAGGGAAGCAGGGCTGCAGGCAAACAGGCAGTCTACGAGGGCAGGAGAGCCCCTGGAGGGCAGGTGGGGGCACACTGGTTCTGGGGGAGGCAGGTTGGGTAGACTGGATCTTCGGTGGCTGAATGTGTCCGATTGAGCTGGCAGGGTTGGAGGAATGGGCTGGAGATGAGCCAAGAGACCACAGTGGTAACAGACACAAGGTGGTGAGAATGGGATGGTCTCCTGATAATGAGGAGAAGGTGGGCAGAGGAACAGCCTGGGAAGAATTTGAAGTAAAACTGGACAGAGTGTGGTATTAGTTTTTCTAGAGAAGGAAGACTCAAAGCAATGCTCAGGAGTGTGGAAGGACAGGAAGCAGCTGCTCGTGGAAACGTGTTAGCTGAAGAGGGTGAGTTTGAGGTGAGGAGCACCTGGGCCTGAGCAGCTATGGAAGACGTGTGTGCTGAAAGTGAGACGGAATGGAAGGAGGGGCTTGTAAAGTGAGCTTCAGGGACCATCACCACACGCCTCCCACGTGGATGCCTGGAGAAGAATGTAATTCAGGTCAACACACCTGTATGGACTCTCCCTTTGTGTTTAGAGGCCCCTCCAGGAGCCTGTTCACTGACCTTTTCCATTAATTTTTTTTTTTTGAAATTTGCAAATGTTAGGGAATGTTCAGGTCACCAAAGGTTTTTGCTATTCGTTGCTTTCTCCTTTAAAGCTAGTCTAGTCCTCTCCAGAGGGCTCTTGGTTCCCACTGCGTTTTCTTCTGAGTTGCTACATGTTTATGACCAGATAAAAAAGCTTTAAACATCCAAAGGCCACATGCTGAATTTTTGGAGCTCTAGGCTGCCATGTCTGCTGCACATTCATTTGACTTTCCTCATAAACAGAAAACCTCAAAAGTCCCAGCAACTATTCTGGGCACTTGGATTCCGGTGCCCTAATTAGTGAGCTGATACCTGGCCAGGTTGGACGAGACTCGACCTTCTCCACTAACCTGGAGAAGTACAAGGTGCCGCTAGTTTGGGGTGTGGCTTTTGGGGTTCGAACAGCATGTGGAGAGGACTCTCTTTCTGTTCATCTGGAGAGACAAGGGAGCCATCATCCTAGCTATTGAGGATTGAGGTGTCATGTGTTTGGGGTTCTGTGGCCTTTATACTATTAAATCCGGTTCTTCAAACTTCCATCCTTAGCTCAAGCCAGACCCGACCACCGATGGTCCAGTGGCTTAACCCGCAGTCTCCGACCACACTGAGCTGCAACCGAGCTGTTACCCCTCCTTCACCCAAGTTGTCACCTTTCCTTTCCTGTCCTCCTGCCACCCCAGCGGACAAGCCACCTGAAAGGTACATGGTTGGGAAGGGATGTAGAGGACGGTGACAGCACATGGACGGGGCTCCTTAACCCGAGCAGGTGCTCGTGTCCTCGGCTGGAAAAGGCTGGCTTGGGCTCCTCCGGCCTCCTGGGCAACACTTACAACCTTGTCTCAGGGCCGAACCCCTGTTCCTGAGCAAGGACATTCTCGGGAGAAATTTACCTCATCTGAGACCTGCTCAAACCTACTCTTTTTGGTGCCGATGTTGCAGTTTTGAAACTATTCATTCATTTTAGAACAACTTTTTATACATGACTATAAAGCACATGCTTTGTTTTAAAGGAGGGTTCACGGGACACTGGGAACAGTGGTGAACAGGCCCCTTCCAGAGGGCATGGAAGCTGACCGTCGGTCCAGACAGATCAGTGTCCGCAGGGCATTGTGGAAGCCACGGAGCACATGTGTGCCTCTGCCTGTCGCTGCTGTGTCTTCTGGCTCAAGACACTGGAGCTTTTCCCAATAGATGGACCACAGTGCTTAGGAAATACACATGCCCGGTGGTGCTGATGGCACGGAAGGATCGGAAAGGGCGTCCCGCCAGGCGGAGAGGAGAACTAGGGAAGCGTTTCAGTGAAAGCTGCTCAGAGAGGCTCCCTAAAGAAACGTTTGAATTTGAAGCCCATCATTTACTTGAAAATCAAGTGCTGTGCTTGTGCCTGATGTTCACTTCCCTACTTTCTTTGGTGGAAGTTGTCCCACCAGTGACATAGAAATGAGACCTGGGAAATGGGAGGTGGCGGGAGGTGAGGTTTCTCTCCCCTAGTTTCTCCACGTGTTAATTTGTGTCTGTCCCTGTCCCTTCTCAGCGTCACCAGTCGGAAGGCTCGAGCGGTGTATCCGTGTGAAGCAGAACACAGCTCCGAGTTATCGTTCGAAATAGGAGCAATTTTTGAGGATGGTGAGTGCTCTGAGAGCTTTGTGATCGGATATATTCTGTCTACAACCCAGAATGTCTACCGCCTAGACCAGGTGGTCCCTGGTTGGAGCATTGTCAGGAGCACAAGACTCTCCCATTATGTTCTGGACAGGAGAGAGCTGGTCCTCCCCACTCCCACCCCACCCCCCACCCCCCGGAACGGGACGCCAGCAGCTGTTTGGATGGCTAGCACCCACCCCTGCCTTCATCTTGGTTATTCTCCAACCCTTTTAACTCTTTGGGTCTTCATTGAGGACATCTTTCTCCTAATCTCCTGATGCAGAGAAGCTAGTGCCAGTGGAATTAAAATATATTTCTTTTTTTATTTTGTTAATTCTCACCTGAGGAATATATATATATATATATATATATATATATATATATATATATATAGAGAGAGAGAGAGAGAGAGAGAGAGAGAGAGAGAGAGAGAGAGAGAGAGAGGTGAGAGAGATATATTGATTGGTTGCCTCCTGCACACACCCCATTAGGGACCAGGATCAAACCTTGTTATGTGCCCTTGACCAGGAATGGAACCAGAGACCCTTTGGTTTTGTGCACTGATGCTCTAACCACTTACAAACGCTGGCCAGGGTAAGAATATTTCCGATTTTGCATCCATTGTTTTTTCTCTGAGTTCCCAACCAAGCCTCCCAAATCAGGTTTGCCAAATCTGAGTTACTGAAAGGGAACTATTATAGAAAAATTTTGGTTTATAATTCCCTTACTCTTCCTCTGCTCTACATGATTTTTGCTGATTTGAATAATGTGTGAATATAGATATGGGTATTGACTTTTCACATTGAAATAAGGGTGCACCTTTTTATGTGTGTTTATTATTCATACACAATCATTTAGGAACTATGCCCAGCTTAATATTTCACAAATTACCCTGATGGTTGAATATATGTCTCCCCCTCTCCCCCCTTTATTTCTTCTCTAGTCTAGCTCATGATGAAATTCATTGGTTGCTGTGGTAACAGTGATGTCGTGTGTGGGTGGAGCTGCCCAAAAGAGTTCTGGGGAAACAGAACCTTAGTTCTGGAATGGTTGATTAGCCAGAATATTTGGAATACGTGGAATGTATCAGCACAGTGCATAGTGGTATATTGTCAGCAATGCGGCATTTGTTGGTGATTGTGTTTTTAGGAAGCACGTTGCCTCTTTTAGAAGAGATTTCTATATATGTGTACTCTTGAGGGCCCGGGACTCCTGATAGTGACAGAAAACAAACCACCACAACAAAACTCCACATCTGACAGAATTATATTTTGTGGAGGAATTTTAATCTTGGAGCGTAAGCAAGATCATCCCTCTGCCACCATCGCGTACATCCACGCAGAGAGTGTGGTGACATAGCCGCCCTGCTCCGGGCCTGCCACTTGTTGGCACCTCATATGGCAGAAGAGGAAGCTGGGATGTAGCATTGAAACCTACCCATTTGAGGAAGGATGGCAAATTTTTGCATTGTGTGATTAGATTTGTTTGGGAGCCTCTGGAATCCCTTCCCAGGACTGTTGAGATATTTACCTGGGTAGGGGTGTATCTATTAGGAGGCCTTGTGCTGCAGTAACAGAAACTGACACAGGAGGTAAATTATTCATGAAGATGGATTAGCTCACACTGCAGGAAGCCTGGGCATCGGGAGCTCTAGGGTTGGTTCACGCACATTCTCCACCGCCACAGTGTCCCCTCTGCTGACGCATCCTCAGCTCGGGGCGGGGCGTCTGGCTGGCTTTCCCCACGCAGCCAGGATGTGCAGCCAGGATGGCCGCACAGGTGCAGGCACCGTGGCCACACACAACCCTAGCAGAAGGGTGCCTCTTCCTTGCTTGTGTTCCCTTTCTTTTCTTAGAATGAGAAAAGTTTTCCAGAACTTCTTTCCTAGTTTACTTGCCCTCCTGTCTTGATAGCCAGAATGGAATCATATACTCACCTTGAACCAGTTACTGGCAAAATCCAGAACCACACTGGGACAGGGACATCTCCTCTGGGCCCACAGACACCGGGATGAGGGTCAGTTCTGTGAGCAAGGATGGTAGATGTCTGGCACTGGGGACTGAAGTTCTCCACCTCTGAAGTCTTCAATGACTTGCCGGAATCCTAAAAAAGTGGGTGTGCGTGACTGTTTATGTGGTGTGTGTGTTTCTCGCCACAAACACACATGCACACACACACACGCACAGATACCAGTATCTCAGTGCGTTTGGGGGAGGACAGGTTGATGGCAGGTAGTTACGGATGGTAAACTGTGAAGTTAGTCTGAGATCAGATCCTGGCTTTTCCATTCTCTGTGTGACTCTGGATTTGGTCCGTAAGTTCTCTGTGCATGCTATTTTCATCTTGATCTTCAAGGACGTCCACAGATTGATGTTTGTCAAGACAGCGTTTTGGGTCATGGAAGGTGGGACTTTGAATGTAGCACATGTTCCTCTGTGGTTGGAGGATGTTGCTGACCTGGGAGCACTGTGGCCATCTTCACTATTGGTTGAGCCTTCAAGATACACAGCAGCCCTAGCTGTTTCTGGCTCAGTGCATAGAGCATCGGCCTGCGGACTGAAGGGTTCTGAGTTCGATTCCGGTCAAGGGCACATGCCTGGGTTTCAGGCTTGATCCCCAGTAGTGGGCTTGCAGGAGACAACAGATCAATGATTCTCTCTCATCATTGATGTTTCGTTCTCTCCCTCTCCCTCTTAGAAATCATTAAAACTATATATATATATATATATATATATATATATATATATATATATATATATATAAAGATACACAGCAGTACAATGAATTCACAGGGAGCAAGTACTTGGGGTATTTTGATAAAAAGTGATTTCTCTTCCCTTTCAGTACAAACCTCGAGGGAACCTGGCTGGCTAGAAGGGACTCTGAATGGCAAGAGGGGGCTGATTCCACAGAATTACGTCAAGCTGCTCTAGCGCCCGTCCTGTGAGGGCCCCACGGACCCCGGCACCCAAGGCCCTGCCTGGGGCAGCGAAGCCACAGCCACCGGACACACGGGAATTCCAGATCACGACGGGCACTCCGGGGGTGTGGAGGGGGACACACTGCTAGAGGTGGGGAGAGGGACACACCGCAGAGAACTGTGTAGGTCTGTGGAGCAGGAGAACAGTGTCGGGATGGACTTTTCACTTGTCAAGCCTCAGACATGTGATTGTTAATTATCCAGAGAGCAGGAGGGAGGGTGGCGGCCACCTGCCAGCCCCACCTCCCCCACTGGCCACCACCCCGCCAGACACCTCCCCACCCTGCTGCTGAGGTTTTATAGGGAACTGTCCTCATGGTGGTGTTTGCAAGAGGCCTCCTGGCTCCGGTGGGCGTGTGGAGGCGCTGCTGCCGGGGGTCAGGGCAGTGACTTGTTCTAAACCCAGCGGGCAGGTGCTCCTCCCTGGACGGGCCCCTTGGACCCGACACTCATGCTACGCTGAGAGCACCCGCGTATTTATAACAGGCTTCTCCTTGGTGGTGCTCACCCGTGTGCTGTTTCCCCGACACCACCCTTTTGCTCCAAGGCCTCTGTAAATGAAATAAAATGTAATTTCCTATTTGGTGTGTGTCATAATGTGGGGAGGATGCTGGAGTGTGTTCCCCCTGTGATGTTTTATGATTTGCCAGCCAGTGACGGAAATGCACTTCCTGCTGACCTGGCACTCGCTAGCTCGCAGGAAGGCGACATGGAGGAGGAGCCTTGCTTATATGCCGGGCGGCGTTCCTGGGGGCAGCGCCTCTCTGATGTGTGAGGTCCGGGAGGGCTTTCTCCAGCCTCCAGAACAGCCTTTCCCCAGGGCCTGCGCGACCCTTGACCTGGGCTGTACAGCTCTGCTTTCTGTTTTCTAGGCACTAAGTCTCTGGATTAGGCTGGGTTTTGCAGCAGCAGGTCGGGCATTCAGACCTTTCCTGGAGGAGCCTCGTGGCGACCCTGCACGTGATGGCCCCCTACCTGTGGGCAAGCCCTGCTGTGACGCTCCCTCCTTGTTCTTAGCCTCCCACTCCCAAGCACAGGCTGACCCAGCCCCTCAGGGCAAAGGCTACCCCTTTGTCCCGGGTCTCAGGGGCCTGAGCCTGCTCCGGCCTCCGTGTGTTTCTGTCCCCACAGGAGGTGATGGCAGACCTCTCTCCAGAGACTGTCACAGGAAGAACGCGTGGTCGCCTCTGCCTAGATGACGATTCAAGAGCTTGCTGGTCCTCAGGTTTGAAGTGCCTCCCCTGGACCAGGTGGGTGTCGAGTTTGGGGTCAGGTGTGTGTGGCAGTGGGCCTGTTGAAAAATTACACTGTTACACCTAAAAATAAGCAGTGTTGGTGTAGCGTAACTTAAAACACGGAACTGTGGGCTCAGTGGAGACGACTGGGGCTGCCAAGGCGCCCAGGCCACAGGACAGCAGCCAGCCGGGGTGTGGGCCAGCTTGGCCAGGGGGTGCGGGTGCCACACCCCTCGTGTTCTGCTTACTGAGTTGTCATTTCCTGCGCTTATGGTATAGAAGGGGCACTTGGCTGATGAAAAGAGATTATGGTGTGCCCCACTTAAAACAGCGGTCGCCAACCTGTGGTCTGGTGGTCTGAAAGGTTGGCGACTGCTGCTTTAAGAAGCCTCTCTGTGGAAGAATGGAAGCCGATGGGCCGGTGTGTGGGCTCAGGTGGGCACTGTGAGTGATTTCCAGGCAGTATTCCTAATTGGTGGGTCCCCATGGGGCACTGAAAAATAAGACCCACCATACCTGGACTTGATTTGTGTGTTTGCTTGAGAGATTTCCATCATCCACACTGAGGTGTACCCAGCATGCTGTTACCCCAAAATTGCTGTTATCCCCCTAAAGGGTATATCCCACCACTTACCTGGTCGAGGAAATTGCCACTAAGTCTGGCTACTTGTGTGGTTTGGGGCAAATTAAATCAACTCTGTAGTTCTGTTCCTGCCTCCTAAAAAATGATAGCTGGGGTGGAAATGACCGAATACAGCATGCCAGGGACATAGTCTGTGCTCAGCTAACGGAACTGCTGGCACTCTGTCACCTGCCTCTTTGTCAGGACCAATCGTGCTCTGTAGGGGGGCAGTGTGGGAGCAGCAAGGCCCTGGCAGGGGCCAGCTGCAAGGGTCCCACAGCCTCACACCCTGCAGACCCTTCTTGGGGTACCTGGTGAAGAGCAGGGTAGCGCCAGGGGTGTTTTTCTCTGCGAACAGGCACTGTGCCAGGCTTGCCGGGGAATTCAGGTGGGCAGCCTCCCCTAGGCCAGGCCCAGAGTAGATTTGCTAACAGCATCACGAGGTGTTCTCTTACATTTGGCAGATCACCTTCATTTCTCCAGAAGAAAAATGGGGTGCATTGTTCTCTGTGTTTGCTGCCTGGGTGTGGCTAATCCCAAGCATCTGCAGAAGGTTGTCTGGGCAATGGCCCTGCCTCACTCAGGGCGCAGGCCCCGCCCCCCACCCCTGGTTCAGCACCAGCTGCAGCGGCTGAGGGGTCTGCAGCTGTGCTCATTCAGAGGGCACCCGGATACGGCCCCTGTTTGCAGTGGGGCAGTGGGCCCGCATCTGATGGTGTCACCCAAGGGTCTGCCTGGTGGTCTCTGCGCCTGTGAAGGAGATGCCATGTGAGAACAGGCCTGTGCGGGCTGCACCCCCTTCCTTGTCGTGGCGGAAACGTCTGCAGTTGAGGGTGGAGGTGGGGAAAGCAGCGGATCGTCTGCGCCAGTGACCGATGTCTAACTCATTTTTTCCTCACAGTGACTGTGGAGCCGGGAAGGATCCTGTCTTACTGATGAGAAAAGGGAGGCACTCCAGGGCGAAGAGCTGCGTCCGCTTCACTGGGCTGCTCACCTGTTCCTTCTGCTGCACCATTTTGCTCCAGGAGCCCAGTAGGGGATAATGGTGGTTACTGGTTGAATTGTAACTCCACCCCACCCAAAATTCGTATGTGGAAGGCCTGACCCCAGTACCTCAGAATGTGACCTTATTCGGAGATAGGGTTATTGCAGGTGTAGTTAGTTAAGGTGAGGTCCATGGGGTTGGGCGCTAATCCAATTTGACCGGTGTCCTTCAATGTCTCAGTATCACTTAGCTGCTGAGAGACACGTGCCGAGGGAAGACCGTGTGAGGAGGCACAGGGAGAAGATGGCATCTGCAAGCCACAGAGAGAGGCCCGGGGCAGGCCCTTCCCCACGACCCTTCCGGCTGGCGCCCGGAGCTCGGACTTCCCGCCTCCAGAACTGTGACCCGTGAGACAACACTTTTCCGTTGTTTCAGTCAACTCAGCTCGTGGTGCTTGTCCCAGCAGCCCGGGGGAGCTCACACAGTGGCTCAAAGCATGATTTGAGTTAAAAACAGCTGGTTTTGAAGTCCTTTTCCCCCAATGCCTTGCTGACCTTGGGCATGTTAACTCGGGCTCTTTAGGCTTCGGTTCCCTCTGTGAAATGGAGAGAGTAGCACCCGCCTCATTGAGATGCTATGGCAAATGGTGACGCGTGCAAGTGCCTGGAGGGTGCATGGCGGGACGTACGGTTAGTACGTGGAGAAGATGGGAGGAGGCGGGTGCAGTGCTGGTGCGGGTTAGTCGGTCCCCTTTCTTCTCCCCTCCCCGCTTCTCTCCAGTGTCCCTTCTCCAATGGCCATTCCCTGCTCTTTTCCTCTGCCCAGCAGAGTTTTGGCCTTTCCTGGGCTCCCCATTCACCTTAGTGCTGGGCGCCTTCTCATCTTCTTCCTGGTTCTCCCCTCAAGTCCAAAGGCAACCATGGTCAGCCCTTCCTCAGCCAGATGTTTCCCATGACTTTCTAAACCTTTCTCAGCCACATGACTTTCTCTCCCTCACCTCCCCACCCCCGTAGGAGGATGCTATTCCAGGAGAGCCTCCTCAAGTGGCTGTCCTGTTCCTGTGTTTGTCTTCTCAGAGGCTTGTCACTCTTTTCCCCTTGACCGGCCTGGGCGGTCATTTGTTGCTACCCCACGAGGTAAGCTGGCCCATTGTCCCAGTGCTTTCGTGCTTGGCTAAAAATATCTCAGTCTCCTGGTTGGAAGAAGACCTTGGAGAATTCTTTCCTATCAGAAGATCAACTCGACTGGAGGGCAGACTTCTGCTTTTGCCCCAAACAGGACACCTGCACTTTGGACTCGGGCAGTAGAGGCATGGGGGCAGCTCAACGCCATGAGTCAATGTATGGATTTCTCCTTCCTCAGAGGGTTTAGCCTCGGAAGAAACACTGTAGGCGAAGCAAGCAGAGTGGGAGGAACGTGGCCTGATCTAGTCACGCGTTTTCACAGTCATGAGGGAGCCATGATCTCTCTGGACAGGCGGGCCCAGGGCATAGAGATCCAAAGAAATGGGTTTGTTAAACCATGAAAACTTGGGAACCACTGTTTTGGCAACATAAATCCTATGAAGAAAATATCTGAGTAATTGCTAGTGGCAGATGGATTTAATGACCCCAATTTCACTCCTCCCTTGCCCAGGCCCTTTTTGTGGGGCCCTCCCATGCAGACTCTAAGCTTGGCCTGGTCACTTGCTTTGGCCAGTGAGACTGGAGCAAACTTGATGCCATCCAAGGCTTGAAAATTGTTAGACCTTCCCTTGTCTTTCTTAGAGCCTTTCTTCCACCATGAAAATACACACAGGCTAGCCCACTGGAGGATGAGGCCGTCACATGGAGCAAACCCGTCCTAGACCCACAGGAGAGGCTGGCTGCCCAAGGTCCATAAATGAGCCTGACTCAGCCCCGCCTGGCCCACATCAGCAGAACCCTCCTGGCTGACTCAAAGTCATGAGAAATCATCCATGGTGACTGATGTAAACCACTAATTATTCGTGTGTGTGTGTGTGTGTGTGTGTGTGTGTGTGTGTGTGTGTTGAGGGGGGGGGTGGGGGGTTTGCAGCTATCTACCTGCTACTCTGCCCCATGGTTTACTTTGCATCCGGTACAATCTTGATCCATGCTGATCATTCAGATCATATCTTAATCTCCTCTTATCCAGTTTGGGAAGCCACTGTTTTATTTCCAAGAAAAATGCAGCATTGGCAATTGGATGACTTGAAATTAAATTGTCAGAGATACTTATAATGAAGTCCTTTTGGTCTGTGTACACTTGTGGTTTATCAAGAAGTATGTTAGACCTGACTTTAACATAAAAGGACACTGTTGTCTACTTGCCTGAGGGGTATTCAACATAGGAGAGCAAACCAGCCCCTAACTACATATGCATCGTGATGCAGATTCCCGCTGCTCTGGCCCACAGTGGTGGCTGTCACAGGGGCAGTCTTAGTTCTTAGCTGATTCCTAGATGTGCAGCTGGATTCTCTGGGCCTGAGAGCACTCTTAGAAATTCTTAGAAATATGGTCATACTTCACCTAAGACTGAGCCTGCTTTATTCAGAAAGGGCACCCACTCTTTTCAAGGGTGCCAACTGGTGTGGCCTCTTGCTAGCCTTGGTGGGCTTACAGCCTAAGATGGCTTTTGTTTAAAGTTATGAGTTCTCTGTGAAAAGCCCTACTCCTTAATATGTCAAGTTCCATAAATTTTAATATATAAAATTATCTTCAATTATATTTTACAAGTTTGTATATACTTTAGTCTTTTAAATGAATTTTTTCTACTGTTGTGTTTAATGATTGTGAGGTGTTACAGAAAAATATCTACTGTGTTTAAGTGAAGTTGAATTTATTTAACTCTCAAATAGTCTAATCTTTTTCCCAAAGCAAATGATTTGAACGATGACCAGTTACATGACCTCTCGGTCAATGGCAGACCACATAAATGACCATGGTTTCTACAATTATAATGGAGCTGAAAAATTCCTACCACCAGTGACATCGTAGCCATGGTAACATTATTGTGTAATGCATTATTCACTTGCTTGTGGTGATGCTGGTGTACACAAACTTGTCAGCAGTGTAACAGAGCAGCACTGGTGGTTATGTACAGTACATACTACTTGACAATAAATGTCTTTCTTACCAGTTGATGCATTTACTATACTTTAATTTTTATCATTATTGTAGAGTGTACTCTTTCTACGTATAAATTGTTTGCTGTGAAACAGCATGCTGTTACTATCTCGGGTTTACTGTTCTCTCTTGATTGCACCATTTTCTCTTATGCTTGATTTAACCTCAGGCTTTATAAAGCTAGTGTAACTTCAGTGCACAGCGTTTATAAAATCTACAGCATATACAGTAACGTCACAGACCTTCCCATTCCCTCACCACCCACGCACTGACTCGCCCAGAGCATCATCCAGTCCTGCAAGCTCCATTCATGGTAAGTGGCCTGTATGAATATAATATTTTCTTCAACTTTTCGACGGTATTTTTACCGCACCCTTTCTATGTTTAGATACACAAATACTTCACACTGAGCTGCAGCTATCCATAGATTCAGTACAGTAACATGCTGTACAGGTTTTAGCCCAGGAGCGATAGGCTGGGTGTGTAGTAGGCTACAGCGTCTAGGTCTGTGTGAGTGCTACTATGTCCCCACAATAATGACACTGCATGACTATGCAGTTCTCAGACATACCTCCATCATTAAGCCGTGCGTGGCTATGCTTGAATTTATCTTGTGGGGAAGAAAATGTTTTCTAGTTTTAAAAGGAGCTGGTAATTGCTTACTGCTCTTTTGTGCTTCATATTAATGAGCAGAACTGAGGGAGTCTGTAAGGAGTGTGAGAAACATCGTGGCTGGTGGGGACCTGAGTCTCTTGACAGTCCAGGACGACTGGAGGAAGACATCTGAGTCAGATGGGGCATCTGGTCTATTCATGTGAGTCTCTAGAATGAACAGGCTTTCATGTAGTTGTCAAGATAAACGAGGCAATGTGCGGATACAGTGGCTAGCAGTTACCATACTTTTATAGGGTATTTTAGTGGGCCAAATATTAAGAAACAAGGCATCTAACCAGTTCCCAAAGAGTATAATTAACATGTGGCTAACACAGGTCTCTAACATGGTGGGTAAAACCCAAAAACCTGATACTCCATCTTAGATGTAGGCAGCAGCACATGTAATCAAGGTTGAGGAGGACACAAAATCCAGGTGTTCCTATAGACATTCAAATGAACTGTTTCCCAACAACAGGTGATTAAAGTAAAGGATTTATTGTAATCTGCTTACAGTCCTTTGCAAAGACAGACATATGGTTTTGCATAAAGATATAAATTGCTTCATTTTAAACTAATTTAGTGTGTTTTCTTTTTAATTATATGAAGAAGTTCTGGTGAATTATGAATTGTACCAAACTGAGATTCTTAAGAGCAATATGGTACAAAAATAAGAGCAGACAGACCATTTGGATCGGGACAGGCATTCAGCAGTGAATTTAGAATATGGCTTTGCTGTTGAACCAAGCAAAGTTACCCGGAGACACACAAACAGCCAGGACCACCATTCATACGAGAAGCCGATGCAGACCACCTCCATCCCAAACCTGGTTACGTCGAAATTCTGACTGCGTAAAAAGTAAGTCTGAGCTGAAAGCTGCTCTCCGAAGCCGTTTCTTTTCTAGAAACTCCCAGTCTGCATGCTGTGCATCTATCCTCTTCCAAGTGTGGCGTTCATATTGCTGTGCAGGTAAGTAAGTTGGCTGTATTTAAAGATCTGCCTATAAATTAAATTCCCGAAATTGCAAGTTACTAAGAAAAACTCCCTCCGAGAGCACTTTCACAGGCTTCCCCTTGCATAAGGCCGGTGTCTTTGGAAAGACAAGGTAATGCTGCCTGCACAGTGCACCCTGGAGAAAAGTGTGGATCCGACGCTGCCTTCTCCTGGCCGTGGGCCTCTCCAGCTACCGCTTGTAGGTTTTGGAAAATAATGTGATTTCACTGAGTACCTGATGATTATCATCACTTTTAAAGATTGATTTGGCCTCTGTTCAAAGTAGCTTATTTAGTGCAATCATATTGCTAAGCGTCCCCAAAGAGAGATGTTTGTGATTTGGGGCAAGAGAAAAGCCGTAAACTGCATTAGTGCCAAACAGATGAATGAATTACAAATTTTAGTGCCACTGTCTTGCTTATATGATCTGTAGTTTCCCCCCCAAAACTGTTTATGTATAAAATTTATTGTTAAAACCTACCTTTTAAAAATCTAAAAACTCTCTAATGATGTTGCGGTCTCCACGCTGCTCTGACCGTGCCCGCGTGCATCTTCTCAGTGTGTCCTGCAAAACCTGCGTGTTCCCATGACCGGTGCCAGGAGTGCGAGCCCCCTTCCAAAGACCAGATGTGAACATGTCACCTTTCACAGGTGTAGCGAGTGCATGGGATTCTCATCCCCACGGGAGAAGATGCATTTCTCTAAAATGGGATGGGACTATGCTCGCTGAGCCCTTGCGTTTCCATGGGCTCTCCTCGCCTGCGGCTGGTTCTGCTGCCTGAGGACTGAGGAACGGGGGCGGCGGTGCTAAAGCCGCGCTCTGGACCGGCTCCCACGTGTGTCCTCAGGTGACGCCTTCAAGGCCCTCTGGACACCACAGCCCGTTGCCGGAAAACATGCTCACGTCCCACGAGCACCCGGCGGGAGACCAAAGACAAAACAAAGGCAGACAAAGTAGAAAGGCTTAAGGACAACCGAAGAGGTCTCAGTGTGGCTATTTACAACAGACTGGGAAATGGTAAATCAGATGTGAAGCTAAAAAAGGCACAGCTCTCCCTTTCTTAAATACACTGTAAACGGTTCATTAGGCATGCAGAGCATCATCTCACTTTACAAAAAGAAATTTTTACCTTGTTTAGACAAAGATAGTACTTAAATAGTCTCCAGCAAAATAGAATTCTTTCAAAAATACTTTCCCATTCTTCCTATTAACCATTGAAGTTTTTTTTGTATCTTTTTTTTCTCATTTACAAAAGTTCCTTATACCATATATAACTCAGTCCCTCACAATTTATACATACAGTAATGTACAGCACAGCAAAAGACTGCAAAAAATTATCTGTAAAGCCAACACAATAGATACTAGAAATTGAAACCGAGGCATTTGTTTTTAACATCTTATCCATTCTAATTAACCAATGGACGCTGAAGGGGGAGGAACGCCAGTGATGCGGAGGAACATGGGCGAGTGCGAGCCAGAGGGGGGCGCTCTCCCACGCCGCGTGCTCTGTTATTACACAATGGGAGTCTGTATAGGTTTTTTCTTTTTTTGTTGTTTTTTTAAATAACAAAAGAATATTAATGCCCCATATAGCCTATACGTTTTATGTGCAAACCAAGGGTAAGCTTTAAAAAGTTCATTAGTCCTTGAACCCTTTTAAAACAAGCGGCTGAGACCAGAAACTACATGGCATAGTTAAAACTTCCATCTGTTAAAGTATCAAAATCAGAGTTATTGACTAGATATGGCTTTTCATCCAGAGGAACGTGTTTCTAAGCGCTGGGGACTGGAGAGGGGAGAGTCCTTTAGAGTTTAGACTGTTCGGGTCTTGCCAAATCCACGTCTAACTTCTAACCCGGCCCCAAACCCTTAACATGACCTTAAACTCCAGAAACTGCTGAACGAGTGTGACTCAACCATCACCTGCTAAAAATATGATTTCTTGGGTCTTTCGTGGGTGTGGAACAACACAGGGGAACTTAAGGCAAAGTTCTTCCGCTACGATGAGTCCGTCACTTCCTGTGAAAGTAAAGCGGCTTGGCGTTCCCGGATTCCACCTTCGGCAACTGGTCGCTGATGATCTCCACCAGCATCGCGGGGAACTCCACCTTCAGGGCCTGGGACTCTCGGAAGGTATAGAAGCAAAATTCCAACAAGTCACTCACCAGCTGCAACACAGACAGAGAGGGGACGTGACACAGAGGTCAGATTTCCATCCCTGTCCCTGCAGCGCGCTCTGCATTTACAACTTGTGTAAATTCTCAGAGCAACGTTCAGAAATCCAGCCAGGAAATCCTGTCTGTGATGCTGCCTGATGAATTTAGTAAGTCACCTGCCCTGGGGGAGGAAGGAGGGTGCTCATGTCACCGGGCACATACTATGCCTTCATGCAAAACAAATTCAGCCAAGAGCTGTGTAACTGCTCAGGATTAAATGTATCAGTGGTAACAGGGTCAGTAACCAAGTTCATAGTGGAACCAAGTTCATAGTCACTGAATTGCTGTCCTCAGATTCTTACGTGTGAATTGGGTGGGGCGAGCATGAGCATGTATCCTTGGGTGATGGGCCATCCCAAGACTGTAAGGTGGGCTGGGGTTGGAGGGGCAGGTGCCCGGGACAGTGAGGGAGGGACAAGGCAGAGCTCCTCTCATCCTTCCACCTCCGGGCCTCCCTCCTTCAGGCTTTTGGCCCTTAGCTGGTGGCAGACTCAGACTTCTCAGTTACTTTTTTCATTTCCCCCCAGCTTTTGAGATCTGCAGTGTTATACTTGGCATAGAACATTATATAAGTTTAAGCTGTACCATGGGTTGATGTGATACACTTATATATTGCAAAATGATTAGCTAACACCTGCATCATGTCACATAATTACCATTTCTTTTGTGGTGCAAGTACTTAAGATATACTGTATGATTAGCTATAATCACCATGCTGTACATTAGATCCCCAGAACGTACTCCTCTGATGACTAGAAATTTGTCCGCTTTGACCAACATTTCCCCCAGCCCCTGGTAACCACTGTCCTACTCTGTTTCTATGCGTTTGGCTTTTTTAGATTCTACAGGAAAGTGAGAATATTTGTCTTTCTCCCTCTGGATTATCTCACTTAGTATAATGCCTGCCTTCACTGTCCGTCCATATTGTCACAAATGGAGGATTTCTCTCTTTCTCACAGCTGTGCAGTGTGAGGGCATCTACTGCATCTCCATGCAGCCGTCCACTGTCATCCATGCTCCACTGCAGTAAAAGCATCAAGGACAACTCTGAGTCCCCTCGCCCATCCAGCCTTTCCCTCCTCTGTCACCCAAGGACCTTCTCAGCCTCCTGGATCTGAACCACTGTTGTGAGGTAAGGAGACAATAACCACAAGTGCAGTACAGCATTCTTGGTTGCTCTTCTATTTACTAGGAATATCATTTCACATCACAATATACACATTCTGATTTTTTTAGTTGCCTAGACTTTTGGTCATTTCCCTCTGTGGTAAAGCAAGCAATAATAATCCGTCAGAAAAACGATTCTTATGAAAACACATCTGTCATTTTCCCTCAGGTTTTTTTAAACTCGAATGGCGAGCTTTCATTGCGTGGGATAGTAAATAACTGTGTGGCAAAGGCCTTCATTACAAACCAGAAATCAAGAAAATCGCATTCGGAAAGATACCGGCTCTGTTGGTGGCTGCAGAGTGCTGTTCCCTAGGCAGGTTCCAAACACTGTGACATGGGGTACGTGTTCTGCAGCCACTGGGCGTGGAGGCCAGAGAAGCTGGGAAACAGCACCAGCCTCCATCCCCGTCCGCTCAGGGCAAGTTCACGCACGTGCTGGCTTTGTGGATGTGGTGCCAGTTTCCAGATGTGTAAAATGAGGGTGAGGAGAGCACCTGCTTTCTAGGGTGCCTACTCTCAGTCACAAGGCCAGGATGCCCTGCTAGGGCGGAGCCTCTTTCATGCTGCCCTCCTACTGGTCCCAAGCTCCTTCCATCATTTTCCTCTATGGACAGTTTACCAAACCTGCTGAGTCATCTTTATGGAACTGGGTCCCCCTTCTATGAAGTGAAGGGCAGGAGGGCTTTGTTTTCTGCTTTTCCAGAAAAAAGATTCTTAAACTAGAATCGGGATGGCGGGTTTCCTAACTGGATGGCGGGCCAGTGGTTGTGCGAGCTAAAAGCCACCCGTGGCCTCACTCTCCCCACATGGTGCCACTCCTTTCAGTGGGGGGGTCCCTCGGGGGTTTGGAACAGGGGAAGCTCTGCGCAGACCTACTGACACCTGAAACCGGCGAGAGCAGTGCCGCTCACACACACAAACAGAGATGCAGGCAGAATCAATCAGTCTCACCACGAGGCAGTGTGCATAGCGCCCCTGTGACTGCGAATGGGGACAGGGCCCCGCCTCTCAGCACCTCTGTCCCTGACTGTGACACCTGTATTCCCAGCACCGAGCATCACCTAGGAGATGCTGAGGAACCCAGAAGGGACAGGCCTGAGGCTGGCTGTGTTTCCTTGCAGGTTGGCTGGGGACAAGGGCCCGGTCACTGCTCCCTAACCATGCACCTGAGCCCGGGCTGCCATTCCTGCCCACCTCTGTTCAGCGAGTGCAGCGGGAGGGGCGGCCTGGGCAGCTCCAGGTGAGGCATCAGGCCCTGTCACCCACACACTCTCAGGGTGGCTGCTTTGGATGACCACCGGGCCCTGGGACAAGGCTGAAGACCTTTGCAGGTTAGGCATCACCTGTGACAAAGGCATGTGCTCCCAGTCACTGGGTGAGAACATTCCTGACCCTCTGCAGATGCTCGGGCTGGTGGTGCTGCAGTACAAGGTCTCCAGCCCTCCTGGAAGGTGTGGCTGCAGGAGGTCAGAGCGTGAGGAGGGGGAACTAGGCCCTGAGAACTGGGTGGCAGGGACATTGACCAGCCAGAATGGACGCTGTCTGTGCACCAAACTGCTGTGTCACGGCAGGCACAGTGTCTAACCTCCATGCTGTCTTCTAGGTATCACCCTGGAGCAATGAGTGGCGCATGCAGAGGAACACAGCAGGTGGGCCCCTGCCCAGAGGAGCCAGAAAACCAAACAGGTACAATGCACATGTCATCCCTGCACACTCTCCCAGGATCAGAGAGTTGGCAGAGTGAGGCCAGGCTGTCGTCAGACCCTGCAAGGTGGCTGTGCGTCACTAAACCACCACAGGGAGTTTCTACTTACACCCCAAACCACCAGGGCAGAGCAGGGCGCCTCGGGCCTCGCCCAGTCTGGTGTGTGTCGTGGGGGGAAAGCCAGACTTCTCCCAAGCCTTTAGAATTGAATCACTCCAGGTCCATGGCACACACAGCCCTGCAGGGATAGTCCAGAAGTTTTCTTGGACACTCAACTAGCATGGAATGATTTTTCCAAAGTGTCTCTTCAAATGATAGGAGTTTTGGCTTTTTCTGCAGGTTTCCCAGGCTCTTCCTTTCACGGAACCCCACTCCCTGCAGTCACCTCCCACCCCCGGAGACCTGGAACCTTGGCCTGAGGACCCTTGCTCTCCTCTGAACTCACAGATGCCATGTTTTGTCTTTGTGATTTCCTTGACATTAGAGCCAGGTGACACCCCTCCTCTTCTATCCTGTGGTTTCCACCTCCTACTGGTGTAACTTTGCACATTTGCAGCTCCTCAAGTGGCCTGCAAGCTCCTTGAAGACAGGAAGTACTGATGCAGCCACATAGCACCCGGGAGAGGCCCTCCTGCTAGCTCTGACTCCTGCCTTTCTCTGACTGTAAGTTCCCAGTATTTTTTTTCAGAGCAGCCTGTTGCTGGTCTTAATCAATGAACAAAAACAAAACCTGGCTAATGTAATTGGGCATCTTCATTTTAGCAGTCTGAGTAAAGAATGCAGAACTCGATCTATGAAGCTACCCCCTTCCATCTTTTCCCGTCAGTCCAATGCCCTTCGACTTGTTTATGTTGGGTTTTAATGTAAGGTTGTATGCACCCCACCCCTGCAGTTAGAGGGACTGGGGTCCAAGGAACGTCACGGCTGCAAGGACAAAAGCTCTGCCCTGCCGCCTGTCAGCACGAATGCCTTAATTGCAGTGAGACAAACAGGCCAGCCATCTCGTTATTGATTCCCACTGGCCTTTCCTGGTGACACCAGCCTAGATGGAGAGGCAAGAACCCTAATTATAATCAGTATTAAGAATCCTGCATTATTAGGAAAAAGAGAAAGTCTTGTGCAGTGACTTTTTAGTCTGTACAAAATGCATCTGCTGGGATCACAGAAGTTTAGCTCGATGCTCAGCATTTCTCCGTCCGCTGGGCCACAGCTGCCACAGGCAGATGAGCCGGCAAGGTCAGAGTGAGACCGAGGGCCCTTGGTGCCTACAGGTGGGCCTGGCGCTGCTGCTCTAAGGTTACAGAACCACTCGGCGGGGACGAGCACCTGGCGGATAACTGCCTCCATGAAGCAGGTCCCACCTGTTTTCAATAGTGTGCTCCCGTCTCCCAAGTTATCTGCTGACTCAAGCTTTCAGCTGATTAGGATCAAGCTTTTTTTGCTTGAAATAAGCCTTGGGGGGAGGTTTGAAGCTTTGTTTTCAAAGATCAGAATTTTAGGCAGCTATAAGATGGGGTTAGGGGCAGATACAGAACTTCGACTCAAATGGTCAGTAGTTACATATTCCAGGTGTTCCCATACCATGATAGGTGTGAACACTGGAAAGTGTCCTGCAGTGATTATAAAGGAGCCAGGGCTTCATTCAAAACCCCCGACCTCCACGCAGCACAGGCGAGTTAACCTGCTTCAGTCTGGCTGGTGCTGCCTCAATAAGACACGATAGTAACATGGTGATGCCACCCTTCACTTGTGGATCCCTTTGCAAACCCAGCTCATCCTGCTCTATGCTCCTGGAGGCTGTGCTTAGGAGCTGAAGGCCTCCCAGATGTGACCAAGTAAAAAAGGATCAAAAGATACCATCAGGAGTGACAGTGGCATAAGATGGTTCACCCTGTTTGTCCCCCACAATTCAACAAACAGCCATGGGATCCAGCACTATACCCAGGACACGGAAGCGTCCTGCCACCTGTGCACCCAGCAGAGCAGCGAACTTGGAGAGTCTGGCTTGGGCAGACACCCAAGAGAGAAACTTCAAAATCCCTGTTTTGAAGAAACTCAAGGAACTACAAGAAAGGAACTGCAGAGGTCTATCTACCCTTCCCCAGGGGAAATGCCAGTATGCCCTCAGAGCAAAAACCAAAGGAATTTAAATGCAGCAGAGACAGCAAGAACTTTACCAGCAAACCCCCAGCCACAATGCACTAGATGAACTATCAGTGGTGGCGGCACCTCCCATAGCTGCCCAGTGGAGCGCTGGAGAAGCCACTTTCTCTGAGGCGGGAACTCCATGACCAGGAGGAGGAAGGAGACTGGGAAAGAAGCATCGAAAGGCATTACAGGGCCAAGGCTCCTGCTGACTGACTGCTCAGCAGAAAGTCTACCGAGGAACCTCGGGGCGCACCTGATGCTTTAAGTCCACACTTCCCCCCACTCTGTGTCCACTTCTAAGTGTGGAGGCAAGAACAAGATCCAGTAGGGAGGGCCCGCAGAAAACTGGCCAGGGTCTATGGGCAAGAGAGAAACCACAAACTTGAGCTATAGCACCACCTATAGAAACAAAAGAGGTTTCTTGCCAGCAGTCTGGTGAGTGGTAAGAACCAGAGGCATAAAAGCTTAAGAATTAGGCCACAAGAGGGAGCAAGACCAGAGTAACATACAAAGGCAGAACCCCCCCTACACCAGCACCAATGAATACAATATTCAAGGCGGTGTCTGCTACTTCCAATGAGAAAGCAGCAATGCAAAACTACAAACATCATTCAAAACCAAGGAAATCTCACCACTGAAAGATAATAATCCTCTACCATCTCAGTTCAAAGGCACAGCATTTTGTGATCTTGCTGATAAAGAATTCAAAATCCCTGTTTTGAAGAAACTCAAGGAACTACAAGAAAGCTCAAAGACAATTCAATGAAATGGAAAAATATATATATGCTATAGCATATATAGAAGGGTAGAGCACAGAATAAGTGAGTTAGAGGACAGGAATTGTGAATTAACCTACTAGAGGAGAACAAAGAAAAGATAATAAAAAGAGTGAAGAAAGCCTACATAGCCTGTGGGATTTCATCAAAACAACAAGGAATAGAATATATCCCTTTGTCTTCTAGAAAGAACTAACCCAACTGAACACCCTATTATATAAATGCACAGAAAGCTTGTCCAAAATATATTGTAATGAAACTGTCAAAATTTAAGATGAAAGAACCCTAAAAGGAACCTGGGGAAAAAATATTATAACCTACAAAGGAATCCCAGTGGAGTTATCATTGGAACTCGGCAGAAACCCTGCAGACCAGGAGAGAGTGGAGTTAGATAGTCCAAGTGTTGAAAGAAAAAATGCCAGCAAATATACTGTATCCGGCAAAATTATCCTTCAGCTATCAAAGAGAAATAACCTTCCTAGAAAAACAAAAGCTGAGACAATTCATCATCACTAGACCTGCCTTTCAAGACATTCAAGCTGAAATGCACAGATGCCAATCAGTGACATGGAAACATATGAAAGTATGCAACACACTGGTAAAGGTAAATAGAAACTCCAAATTCTGTAATATGTTGTGTGTTACTCACTTAACTACAATACAGATTTCAAAGAAAAAGAGCATTAAAAATAGTCACAGCTACTATAATTTGCTAAACACAATATAAAGAGGTAAATAATGACATCAAAGATGTAAAAGGGTAAAGCTTTTATAGATGATTGAACTTAAATTGCTCTCAGCTTAAGTTTAACCCATGAGATGTCTTATGTAACCACAAAGCCAAAACCTAGAGTAGATGCACAGAAGATAAAGAAAACGGAAACAGAGCATACCACTACGGAAAGACAACAACTTACAAAGACAGGCTTACATGGAGGGAAAAGAAATAATGCAAATGCAAAACAACCAGAACACAATAAGATGGCTTTTGTAAGTCCTTACATATCACTAACATCTCTAAATCTAAATGGATTGAATATACCAATTGAAAGACAGAGTTGCTGGATGATTTAAAAAAAAAAAAAAAGCAAGAACCAAAACTACAGGCATATGTTGCCAACAAGAGACTCACTTCGGCTTTAAGGACATCCATAGGCTCCAAGTGAAGGAACAGAACAAGACATTCATGGAAGGTGAGGTAAATATACTCAGACAAACTTTAACCCAAAAATGGTAATAAGAGACAAGGTCAGTATATAATAGTAAAGGGGACAATTCATCAAGAAAATGAATTCAAAGCAATCATATGTAACAGAGCTGGGAGAAACAGACGATATAGTATTAGTTGGGGACTTTAATACCTCACTTTCATCCAGACAGCACATCAACAAGGAGACACTGGACCATACATTAGCCCAAATGGACCTAACAGATATGCATAGAACATTCCAACCCAACAGGACCAGAATACACATTCTTCTCAAGTACATCAGAACATGCTCCATGACAGAACATACAATAGGACCTAAAACAAGTCTTAGTAAAAATTAAAAAAGATGTAAACTACAGAAAACATCTTTTCCAGTCACAATGCTATGAAACTAGAAACCAACAGGAGGAAAGCTGGAAAATCTACATACATGTGGAAATTAAACATACTTCTGAACAATCAGTTGGTCAAAGATATCTAAAGGAAAATAAACCATCTCAAAACAAATGAAAACACAACATACCAAAACCTATGGGATGCTGCAAAAGCAGTTCTGAGAGGGAATTTTATAGTGATAAGTGCATATATTAAGAAATAGAAAGGTCTTAAATAAACAACCTAACTTTACACCTTCAGAACTAGAAAAAGAACAACAAATTAAGCCTAGAATTAGTAGAAGGAAGGAAATAAGAACAGAGTGGGAACAAAATAAATAGATACCAGAAAGAAGCAAATCTTTGGCTAGACCGTGAAAAAAAAAAGACATAAAATCAGAAATGAAAAAGGAGACATTACAACTGATACTATAGAAATGCAAAGGATCATAAGAGACTGAATAGTGAGAAGCTAACAAATTGGATAACTTATACGAAATGGATAAATTCCTAATGAACAACATAAACTGATGAGCAAAAATAGAACCAGAGTCATTGAAGCATCGAACAGACTGTCCAACCTATGAGGGAAGGCGAGGGGTGAGGGGGTACGAGATCAACTAAAGGACTTGTATGCGTGCATATGAGCATAACCAATGGACACAGACTGGGTTTGGGGCAGCTGGGGCGAGGTCAATGGGGGAAAAAGGAGACTTATGTAATACTTTAAACAATAAAGAATTAAATAAAATATACCAACATGCCAAGACCCAATCAGGAAAAAACAGAAAATCTGAACAGACCAATAATGAATAAGGAGATTCAAATTGATATTCACAACCCTAGGACCAGGTACTCCACTGGTGAATGCTACTAAATATTTAAAGAATAATTAACATCAATCCTTTTCAAACTCTTCCAAAAAACTGAAGAAAAGGGAACACGTCAAAACTCATTAAATGAGGCCAGCATTACCCTGATACCAAAGCCAGGTAAGGCACAAAAGCAAATTCAACTAGTAGGACTACATTAAAATGAAAGCTTCTATGAGCAAAAGAAACAATAAAATAATGAAAAGGCAATGTACAGAATGGGAGAAAATATTTGCAAACTATATATTGGTGAAGGGGTTAATATTCAAAATATATAATGAACTCATATATCTCACTAATAAATAATCCAATTAAAAAATAGAGGAATTGAATATTTTCCCAAAGAAGATATACAGATGGCCAACAGGTACATGAAGAGATGCTTAACATTACTAATCATCCGGGAAATGCAAGTCAAAACCACAATGTAGTATCACTTCATACCTGTTAGAATGGCTGCCATCAAGATAAGAAATAAGTGTTGGTAAGGATGTGGAGAAATAGAATCCTTGTGCACTGTTGGTGGGAATGTAAATTGGTTCAGCCATTATGGAAAATAGAGATTCCTAATAATATTAAAAATTGATTGAAGCACTATATGATCCAGCAACTCCACTCTTGGGTCTGTGTCCAAAGGAAATGAACACAGGCTATTGAAGAGATATCTGCACTACCATGTTCATTACATTATTCACAGTAGCCAAGACAGAAACAACCTAAGTGTCCATCAGTAGAATACTACTCAGCCAAGAGAAAGAACATTTGCAACAACTTGGATGGACTGGAAGGTTATTATGGTAAGTGAGAGAAGTCAGACAGAAAAAGACAAATATCACTTATATGTGGAACCAAAAAAGCCAAACTTATAAGAACAGCAGAAATGGTAGTTACCGGGGGTTAGGGGGGTGGGGAGATGTTGAAGTTATAACCTTGCAAACAAATCCTAGGTTTACAGACAACAGTACTATATTATCAACTTTAGAGATGCTAAGAGACTAGATCTTTCTTGTTCCCACCACCAAAAAGAAAAGATAATTATGTGACGTGATAGAGATGGTAATCACATTGCAATATATAATTGTATCAAAGCAAGACGTTGTACACCTTGAATGTACATGCTTTATATGTCAATTATATTTGGTAAAGGAAGTTACCATCAGAAAAATATCTAGAAGACTAGTTTTCAAACATTTGCCAAAAGACATTTCATAGCCCAAAGCTTAACAGGTGAGCTATGCTAGTGTGTCAGTGAAATTTGAGGCTTTTACAAGCCTGTGGGAAGCTTAGCAGGATGCTTGGGAGCTCTGGGATAGCACAGTCACCATCGAGAAGGGGGGACTCTTTTGTTGATGCCCCATTTAAAAAGGCTGCCCTCCTCTGCCAAGGACCAGTCTGCATGGGCAGGGGCCATCTGGACTCAACAGGGCTGGGCTGTGAGCTCTGCCTACAAATTCTAGGTAAGGGGAACCCCAGTGAGTGTGGCCAAAGCCAGGACTGCAGGCCAGAATGTACCTGTTTCCAGAGAGACTGCCTGAGGCAGTGGTTCTGGGTTGAGACAAGGGCGCTACTCAACATCTCATGAAAAACCAAGGGCATTTCCATCCATTAGCATCTACTTATCTGAGATGTCACATTTTAATTTCTTCTTTGCCGTTTTTATAATACATTCAAAAACCAATCACTGATATCTGGTCAGTGATGAATATTTAATCTTCAAAATATGTTGTTGGGATGCTGTGCTAAGCAAGATGGGTTCATTTCCCTTCTGATTTTTTTTTTGTACTCAAATTTATTTAATTCCTACTCTGTGTAAGTTTCCTTGTATTACAAGCCTTGTTCTAGATTGCAGCTCCGCCTTCTTGTGAATAAGGTCTATTGTATGTGTGAAAAACACAAAGAAAAATGACACAATGGAGAAGAAGAAAGTAGAGTTTCAAGATAAAGGGATAATTAGAACATGGCTGCACAAAGGAATTCTAATGAAAGGGTTGTGTTTGAAATGCATTGGCATGTTACTGTATATAGAAGTATGAACTTTTCCCAATTTTGTTTTCAATATTTCCTAGATCCTTCTTGCAGAAGCACACTACACCAAGCAACGTAAAAATCTAAACCAATTCATGTTCCTAAGTTACCAACTCTAATATCAGGTTTAATCAAGATTGAGCAGTTAAATCCTTATGTCAGTCTCAAACAGAAGAGGAACACGCAGCAACCAGGGGAAGCCACAGTGGCCAAGGGCAGCCTCTGCAGATCCAAGGCCCTGACACCAAGGTGATCTAGTTCACTCCTGTGATTCAGTGATGCCATTGAATGAATCCGTTGGCAATCTATGGCCTGCAGGCCAAATCTGGCCCAAGGAACGTTTTTGTGCACTTTTAATTGGTTGAGGAAAAAAAATCAAAAGCATATTTTGTGACGTGGAAATTGTATGAAATAGTTTTACTGGGACGCAGCCATGCTCATTCATTTAGCTATTATCGGCGGCTGCTTTCAGACTACAAGGGCAGAGCCACGTTGTTGTGACAAGGATCACAGGACCCACAAAACCTACAGTACTTTCAACGTGGCCTTTTAGGGAAAAACATCTGCTGGCTCCTGGATTGGAAGGCATGCCATGGATTTAATGAGGTTTTGGTTGTTTATTAAAATATATAAATCAAGTGTACGATGTCTCCTGATTTAAGTCTGTGAATCAGGACATACGGCACCAGCTAGATTTGGCTTTCCAAATATTATCCATTTTTCTGAGCCTTTAGGAAATGCTTTCGGGAGAACCCTTGTATAGGGGCTGAGCTAGATAAGAGGTTATCTAGCTTACAGGCTCTAGAATCTGTCATTCAAAGGGAGAGTTTCCATCACTTACGCCTCCCATTTCTGACTGTGCCCTCAGGAGCCATTTCCCTTTGATCCTATAGCCCCTGCAGATCATACCCATTTACAGCTGACTCTCATTGTCCATAAAGTCATTGGGAACAGTGAATTCCAAACACTGAACCTTCACTCCTAGGGAAAATATGGAGCTAGGTTTCCATGAGCTACTGATCAAGACATTTTCATAAAACGATTTCTACTTAACCTTGTTTTATGTGTATTTCTGTTTAAAGACTCCTTATTTAATGTACACTGCTGACTCCTTAACATTGAACTCACATTCAACAGCACTATACCGCATGCCTGAACAAAGCTTACTGAACACTCATTTTCTCCATGAAGCACATCACAGCCTCCTGCCCTTAAGAACACAAGACAGTGTATGAGCACTACATTTGGGGACAATTTTCAACAGCAACATCACTAACAAAAATGCAAGAAATGTGTTACCAAGTAGATCATGAAAAGCACACTTATTTCAGTATGAGCTGAAACAAGAAGGGAGAATGTCACCTTGCTTGACCTTCATGGGGAACATGACTCAATTTATTACTCTGCTCATGCCTGTGAAAGTGCTGAGAGTATTGATTTGGGGGGTGCGGGTTACAAGTATTTTAAATGTTTTTGTTAGTCCTCACCTGAGGATTTTTTCCCATTGTTTTTTGGGAGAGAGTGGAAGGGAGGGGGAGAGAGAGAGACACATCGATTGGACTGGTAGCCTCCCGCATGTACAGGTGCCTGGGATCGAGCCTGCAAGTACATGCCCTTGACTGGGAATTGAACCCGTGACCCTCCTGTGTGTGTTGGCTCATGCTCTAACTCTTGAGCAACACCGGCCAGGGCTGGAGGTACAATTTTAACTAGTAGGCAAACTCAAAAATACAGAATCTGCAAATAATGATCGACTGTGTGTGAAGCTATATACACTTTCTACTCTCTTTAGCCATGACCTTGATCAACTGGCATCTTCAATGTCAGTCATTTCATAGGATCTGCCCTAGTCCAAAATGGCACTGATAATAACGTTCCTCTTTTCTGTTGCTTAACAATGTCTGTGTCCCTTAAGAAATTTCTTCACTCTTTTTTTTTTTTATATTTTATTGATTTTTCACAGAGAGGAAGGGAGAGAGATAGAGAGTTAGAAACATATATGAGAGAGAAACATCAATCAGCTGCCTCCTGCACATCTCCCACTGGGGATGTGCCCGCAACCCAGGTACATGCCCTTGACCGGAATCAAACCTGGGACCCCTCAGTCCGCAGGCCGACGCTCTATCCACTGAGCCAAACCGGTTTTGGCTACTATTTCTTTTTGTATTAAATTAGACCTGAGGTTTAAGGCTCCTTTTGAGTGTGTGGACGCGTCTCCGGTTTCCTTCGATTGGACACCCTGCTCCACTGAGGCTTCTGCCTTCCATCCCTGCAAGGTCCATGGCCACATCCGCACCGGCTGCCACAGGTGCTGCTCTCCCATTCATCATGCCCTCTGAGCTACAGGACTTTACTTAGTGGAGCCCCTTGTTCAAAGTTTATGAAGGACCTCAAGATGGAGACAGCGGAACAGGAAGCTAAGAGTGAGACCCTTCTACCAGTACATGCGGGATGCTAAAGTGACACCTCGTCTCACCGACCAGCAGCCCAGGAGCTAACCAGGTGCAGGGCTGGCTATGCACAGATGCCTCTCACAGGTGCTGTGTCCTCTCCATTCCTGCCTTCTGCTCCCGCCTCCCTTAGGAACCAGGGAAAATGCACTTAATCACTCCCCGCCTTAATTCTTTTCTCCATGAAAGGGTAAAAAAAGGAGTAAATATTATTATTCCTCTTTTATAGAGAAAGGAATTAAGATGAGGTGATGAAGTGTAAATAGTAATATTTACTCATCCTTACCACATGGAGATATTAGAAGGATTTAATGATGGGACTTAGGAAGAAAGGCACTGGGTAAACCCCAGGCATTATACGGTTATTTTATATTGTAAGAAGAGGGATTTAGGCAGCAAAAGAGGGAGGAATTTATTGACACAGGTGTTAGACAATGAGATAGTTTTCCAAAATCTTCCCTAGATATATTTCAGATTAGAGAGAGATTCCTGTGTGTCAGCTTAGATTTAGATGTGATTTTCTATGCGCGAGCTTCCAGGACCCTCAGTGCTTCTTTCTTCAGGGTATTTTTTCCCTCACAAAGCTCACCCTGTGGCATCATAAATCCCAAAGATTCAGGTGGGAATGGAATGCACAATTCCTTTATACCTCCCCAAACAAGGCCAGGTCCTAGTTTCCCCCACCATTCTCATAAAAAGTTATTCTCTGAGAGATTTGAGAAACTGGCTATGAATAATGAATGGCAATATTCTGTAGATGTGCAGTGTATGAAACGTTAATTAATAATGAAGTCAAAGAAGTTACAAGAAAAATGCTCTTTTCCACTCTCTTTAAATAAATTGGAATCAGACACAATTTTATCCATAACTGGCAAAATTAAAAGAAATAAACTACTGACTTACAAGTTCAGAAGAGAAGACTTTGACACTAAAACATAAGTCACGAAATGGGAGAAAATGTTTGCAAATCATATATTAGATAAGGGGTTAATATCCAGAACATACATAAAAACAAAAATATGGGCCAAGAACTTGAGTAGACAATTCTCCAAAGATGACATATTCAGATGGCCAATAAACACATGTAAGGATACTGAACACCACAAATCATTAGGGAAATGCAAACCAAACCACATGTGATACCATCTTACTACCCATGAGGAGGGCCACCATCAAACAGCATTAACACTTGCAATGCAAAAATACATCCACCCCTAGAAGCCCAACCACGGCTGCTTCTTTGAAACTTTTTTTTTTTTTTTTGAAAAATAGATGCTCAGAGGGCTTATGATTCATTAAAGTTGCTGACCAATTCAGATACTCAACTGCCAACCTGTTCTTTCAGAGAATGCTGTTTTCACTCCCCTTGGCACAGCTCTGCCCACGCGCGTGTGCACCGTGTAGGACAATCCGGGATCTACCGATGTGTGTCCTGAAGGGTGGCCTGTGTGCTGCTTTTTAAAGCAGCACTTAGATTTACGTCCACAGGGATCCTACTTGTGGTGCTCCTAGGAACAAGCGCTCTTTTTCCGAAAGTGAGCAGGACTCGCTCTACACACAGAGCAGGTCCCCGTGCAGCCCTTTGTTCCCTGGAAGAGAATCCACAAATGCTGACTCACTGGTTCCCTCTAATGAGAAGCCGGAGGCATTCTCAGGTCTGTGTAAGCGCGAATGTTAGAAAGGCCCCTCTGGGCTTACAATGCATTTTTCAATGTTCTGTCTGGAATAGGACTATAAATAGAACTTTCAAGATGCTCCTGTTAGGCTACTTCTAAGAGCAAACATTTTTTATAATTTAAAATAAAGGTTTTAGAATTAAAATGATTCCCCAAAGAGTATTCTCTTTCCAGACAAATGGAGTAGGAAGGACTGGCTTTACCTGCCACCAGAAACAACCAAAACTCAGAAAAAATGCTTTTCAAGCTACATATCAGTCAATAGAGGACAATAATCTCTAGGACAAAATCTGGGACCAAAGCTTTGTGACACTGGCTTAGACAAGGATTCCTGAGATACACCACCAAAACATGGCTCATAAAAGAAAAAATAATCAATTGGGCTTCATTCAGATGGAAAACTGCTCTTCCAATGACATTGCTAAAAGAATGACAAGAGAAGCACAGACTGCAAATCACATATCTTATAAAGGAATTCTACCTAGACTATAGGAACTCAACATTCTAATTAAAAACAAGCAATTCTTTTTTTCAAATGAGCCAAAGGGCTGAACAGACACTACACCAAAGAAGACATAACAATGGTAAGTAAGCACATGACGAGAACATTTGTCACCAGGGAAATGCAAATTAAAACCAGTGAGACACCACCGCACAGTTACTGCGATGGCTACAACTAGGAAGACTGATCTCACCGAGTGTTAGCAAGGATGCGGAGCGATACGAACTCACTTGTCAAGGGAGTGTGCGATTCGTTGTACAACGACTCTGGAAAGGAGTTTGGCAGTCTCATAAAAATGGGAACACGTTGCCTGTATGACCCAGGCATTCCACTACCAGCGATTCACCCAAGAAAAAGAGAGTGACGTCCATTTCAGGACTTGCACACACATGTTCAGTGCAGCTTTCTCTGTAATAGTTTCCAATCTGGGAACGACCCACACTCCCACCCTTGGGTGACTGGACTACCAAAATGTGGAATATCTGTGCCATGGGTGCTACGCAACAATGAGTGAGAACTAAATACTAACGTATGCAATAGGATGTATGAATCTCAAAATAATCATGTTAAGTGAAGGAAGCCAGGCAGAAAAGACTACATACTGCATGATTCCATGTGTATGAAAGTCTAGAATATATGAACGAGTTTACTATATAAACTCCAGAATATATAAATGAATTTACATTGCCAGAAAGCAAATAGGGAGCAGTAGGTAGGAAGAAAGGTTAAAAAGGTGCACAAGGAAAGTTTTGGGGTGATAGACATGTTTGTTGTCTTGGTGAATATATGGGTCAAACTTCTCATATGGTACACTTTAAATATGTTCACCTTATTGTGTATCAATTATACCTTGATTAAAAAATAAAGGACAATGATTTGCCCTGGGGGATTTTGCAGAAGATCATCAGTTAGAATACAACCAGTTGGCAACTTGAGTTCCTATCTGGTGGCCAGCACTGTGCTGGCTCACAAAAGCAGCTGGCAGAGGATGGATTGACACATGGAGCCCTGGGCTGGCCCCTAAGTGTTTCCAATGTGCTGCTCTGCTGAAGGCATAAAGATTCTGAAAGGCTGTTGGAAAAAAGTTGTAACTTCTGTTATATTACATGCAAGTTGCTTCAAAACACATCTATTGTCATATGTTGTGATGACACTTGTATACTCATTTTGATACTGCACTTGTGCCTGCCCGTACATTTGAACAAACTAGAGAATTCATCTAGAAAGAACCACAAAGCCCTATTCTAAGCTCCACTCAGAAGGATTTTGACACAACCACCAGGAGGAAGTAACTGTGCCCTTGTTCTCAGATGGTCTGTATCCATGCTCTGCTTTCCTCATGTCCTTTGCTGTGACTCCCAAAAGCCTGTTTGCCATCCTCTCTTATTCTTCATTTCCCAGTAAAGCACACACTTTAGGACACTGGTAATCAGCAGAACTATCCATCCCTGAATTCACTTGCTGGTCATCTTACTGAGACCATACGAAAAGTTCAGAGAAAGCAAAGGTCAACCTGATAGGCAATGGGTTTTCCATGTAAAACACTGCAAAGTGACATTCTTTTATCAAAGAACCTGCAGAAACAAGGTTCCACTGGCATAAACAGATTTCTAAAGGATGAACCATTAGTTCAAAAGAAATACTAATATTAGTCATCAAGCTTGCAACATTTTCCTCAACAGAGAAATATTTGGAGATGAATTTCTTATGCAAATCTTGGGTGATACAGTTTACCTCCCAAAAGTATGAAAACCTCATAAATGTGAAAAACTAAATTAGCATGACTGTATACAACTTTCTTTTTTTTTTCAGCCAGATTGGGAGAAGACACAAAGTGAAACAAGAAGCACATTTTAAATGACATAAAGCAAGTGATTCAAATCAATCTTTTGTAGAAACCTCTACCAGCGGTTTTCAACCTGTGGGTCTTGACCATCGGAAAACACATATAGCATATCAGATATTTACATTACAATTAATAACAATAGCAAAATTACAGTTATGAAGTAGCAACGAAAATAATTTTATGGTTGAGGGTCACCACAACATGAGGAACTGTATTAAAGGGTCGTGGCATTAGGAAGGGTGAGAACCACCACCTCAGCTGCATCTATAACTGGTTAAGTTAGAAAAAACAATCTCAGAATTTGTTTTCTGTATTTACATTAAGACAAGAAAGGTGACTCCTATGAAGAACAGTGAATATAGGATTCAAAATTTGGCAAAGGTTGAGATGATCCATGCTGGCCCTGGACCACTAATAATGTTTTTAAAAGATTGGGTTATTAGATTAACAGTTGTAGAAGATGGACACTGAGCAGTGTGAAAGCAAACAGGTCTACTAGCCAAACATTTCCTAAATCGCTCACAGAAATGTGAGACCTGACCCGACCCTGGGCCGGGACACGGGCTCTGCCCTGGTGGTGCACGTACCTCTGGTCCTGCTCCCAGGGAAAGCCACACCCTTGGCTTGAAAGGAGGTTTGTTACAAACGTGATCTGGAGGAAAATTTCCTTCCTGGTCAGCTCTCACCTCCTGCTGCCTCCCACTCGATAACAGACCTTTACTCTTCCCAAGTCCCAAGAACTTTCTCAACTCTCCTACTTCATTTGGCGAACAGCGTGTGGTTGCTGACCCTTCAGTGAAGAGGCATCAAAGGACAATACTCACATCATGCATGGAGTCCAGAAGCTTGGTCAGTTGATAGAACCTCTGCCAACTCTGCCCAGAATTGTTGGGACACTTAGTTACCATCTTCCTCAGCTCTTTGATGTAATTTGTCCTCATTTCTTCAAATGCAGCTTGGCTTTTGAGGCCATCCTTGGGAACTGTGTTTAAGGAGAACAGATATGTAAAATCCCAGGATGAAAAACAGTTTTCACATCTTAGCAGTTAAATGGCCTACGATATTTTGAGATTGTTAGGTTCCCACTTTTAGATTGACACTGAATCTCAATTAATTGCATTTATCAGTAAATATGGCAGTTATGGTAACTCTTGTACACATACATATACAAAAGAATAATAACTGCTATTTATCAGGAGCATGTTATTACATTTTGCATATATCAACTCACTTAATCTTGACATCAGTCTTATGACATAACCATTATATTACTCTTATTTTACAGATGAGGAAACTAAGGACTGGAGGTTTACACACTTGTCCAAGGACACACTAAATGGCAGAGAAGACATATAAACCTAGCTTGGTCTGTTTCCAAAGCCTGGCTCTTGACCACAATGCTTCATGGCCTTGTGGCTTGTCATCAAAGTGTTTTATGAATCCTGACTTGCCAACACCTCTGAGGAAGGAAAACATACTTTGATTTTCCAGAACAACTGGAAGAGCCACAGACAATCTAAGCTGGAGCTAGAATTAGAAAGCAATGTTTTCATATTCAAGTTCAAATATCAAAGACACTTGGGGAAACTGGCCATCTACCCATGGAAGAATGTGCATACAAAGAAGCACTTTCCATTCTCTTTGCCCCAGATCACATGACAATACCAGGCCACATGACAATGAGGCACTGTCATGTGACCTCTCAGATAACCTGAAAGGGGGGGTGGGGGGGGGGTGTATGTAGTGGCAGTCTGCAGCCAAGGGAAAATCTAAAACTTAGAAAGAGAAAATACCATGTTCATCTTTATCTTTGGTAAGGTAGAAAATAAAGGATTATGTTTTCTTTTATGTAGTGACTAGCTGATAACAACATTCTGAGTTGGAAACTGCTCTTACCGTCACTTAATTACACAGCGCATTTGTTACTTTATCATAACCTGTATACATGATAATTGACAGGGTCATCAGCACTTTAGAATGGCTATGTTTCTGAATAGTACGTGCAAACCTGGAAGCCAGGAATGCCACTGTTTGCAGTTAAACCTGTGCTTTTGTATAAAGATGTGGATTATCTTGCAAAATTAACTTCACATATTAATAATCATCTCCTTGAGTTGAATTGGTGAGGTTTTTGATTTGTCTATTTTTGTGGGGGGAAATAAGTCCCTAATAGCTACTGCACAAATTCCTGAGGCTTTCACAATATTAGTTGTGGTTTCAAATATTTGACATTCACATTAAGAATTAAATACCATCCATTATATAACTTTTTTTCTCTTAAAATTAAAAACTTGCTATAAAAACACTAAAAAAGGATGGTAATAACCAGGATGTTATTATTAAAGCTATAGATCTGGTTCAACCAAAATTTTAATGTTAACCTAAAACTTTCTAAAAGAAACTGAAAGTTTGCAAATAGCAGCCTATATTTCCCATCCACATATTAACTTTTGAAGTTATGACATTTTATGGAGTAAAACTTTTGTTTTTCAATCTAGAAATATTTATGGGTGTCATCCTATACATTAAAAATTTGCCTAAAATTAGAATAAGTGAATGCATTTCACAACTATATTTCAATACTATTTGACACATAATAGAAGATTAAGCAAAGACCTTCATATTTCTGATAGCTGTGTTATCAGAAGTTCTCAAAAGATGAACAACCTGTGTCAAATTTTACTTATACATTACTGTAGTGGCTGAAATATATTGTACCAATTTTACGGAGATTTTTTAGAAGCTGAAACAAACCCACAAATAAAGAGAACTTGAGCAAAACCTCAGGTTTTGGAGGTCTGCCCAGATTTTGTAAATTTACTTATTAAGCAGCATAGCTGCTGGAAATTGTCCAGAACCTACGGGCTGCAGAAGAGCAGAGACTACGGGCGGAAGTCTGTCTGCTCTCCTCTGCGAGCAGAAGGAGCACACAACTCTTGCTGTCATTGCTAAACAGTCTCCTGATTCGCTGGACATCAGGGGTGCAACCTCACACCCTAAGTAAGAGGAAGGATGCTCAGGCATTCCACAGGTTTGCAAAATGAGCAAACTAAAGCCCACAGCTCCTGTGATTCATAAAATTCTTGTTCTTCCTTTTGATTTTGCTTTTCCGGCATCTATGAAAAATCAGAAATCAAAGTACTGAGCTCCTTGGAAGCTAATACATCACCCTGGACAGCTTCAAAATCATATCAGAATTGATTATAGGCTGGCTGATTAAATGTGCAGGGGTGGGCAAACAGGTTACAGTTGTTCATATGGAAAATACCAACTAATAAATAATACAAGGACAAACTTTTGTGTACTCACAACTTACTTTTGTCCACTCCCGTATATAATAGGGTCAGATACCAATTGAGTAGTCAAAATTTATAAAGAATTAGAATCACGTGAATTTTTAGAAAAAAGATTTCATTTAAATTTTCTATCATCTCGGGTGTGTGTGTGTGTGTGTGTGTGTGTGTGTGTGTGTATTTAAAACACGTTTCTAACCGGTGATGGTTAATGACAGAGATTGGAAAGAGGAATGAGATCACTGACTTGAGTCTCAATTTCCAAGGTTACATTCCAGGGAGGAATCCGGGAGGAGGGACCGAGAGCCTGGATCCTGCCCTGCAGGCAGATGAGGGTCTGAATGTAAACAGTGAGGGATGGCAGGGACTGTGGCAAAGGAGAGAACATGCCCAGCCCCTGGCGATCAAATTCTATGAAAATAAAAGACAAAAGGCCAAAAGCAACCTAAAAACCCTGTCCTGGCCAAACAAAACACAGCCGTGAGGTGCGGCACGCCCCTGCCAGGCTGCCCATGCCCCCTCCGGAGTCCACTCAGCCCACTCACAGCCCACTGTCCCCAAGGCTGTCAGGCGCCACGAGCTGCCTCTGCAGCCCTTGCTCCCTGCTCCTGGGACAGTGCGGGCAGCCCTGGGCACGAAGTCCACAGTCCTGGGTGAGTCCTAACTCACAGAGGATACTGAACAAGTAACACTGTGTGCCTGTTCTGTCAACTCCAGAATTGGTATCAATCTCATAGGGCTGTTCTAGCATTCAGTTAGATCATGTAAAACTGCAAGGTGCTAAACATATGTGAAGTGGATTCTGATGTGTGGTCACCACTACATCCCTGCTCCTGCTGGACCTTGTCTGAGGCTCACTCTTCCACAGGCTCAGCACTCTTGGCTGGAAATACGTCTCTTCTTGTCCACTGTGTCCTTGTCACCTTGGCTATTGATGCCCCTTTCTTCCAAATGACTCTGCTGCAAATGGCCCTTCTCTCCAGCCCGATTCACTGGCCATGGAAGGGCTGGGCACACTCGGATGCCAGAGCTGGTCGGTCACTCAACAACTACAGCTCCTCTGAGGTCCACGCCACTTGCCCTGGCACCGCTGGCATCCAGAACATGTCTGAGTGACCTCAGTGGCCATGGCATGTGGCGGAGGGATTACCTCTCCAGACGGTCTCCTGCCACCATTCTTGGTCTGCCCCTCATCTGACTGAGTTTCCTCAAATTCCTTCCCCTGTTTGAACATGCCCTTGCCCAAGGAAAGGTGCTCCCTGTCTTTGCCAAGGCTAATCCTGACCCATCTCTTCTGGCATCTTATGCCATCAAGTCCTACTTGGTTCCAGAAGCGTAAAGGAGCTTCCCATCCATCTGAAAGTCGCTGGCCATCTGGCACCTGCCCGACGCCTAATGGTCAATGCTGGCAGGCGTCTCTGTGCAAGGCAGGTGGTTCGTCTCGCCCCTGTTGGAAACCGAGTCTTGGCTTCCACGCTGTACATCTCCCCTCTGACAGCTGTGTCTGTCCTTTCCGCCCGTGCCATCCCCCTTCACGTGGCCAACTGGACCTGGTCTCCTCTTCCTGTGGCACGGCAACCCTGCTCACCAGCTGAGTCCATACTACAATTTCCCGTGAAGATAATTTCAAGTTTATATCTCAATACCCAAACCAGTCTTCTGAGTGCCAGGCCCAAATTTTCTCCTCCTTTTGGCCTCTCTCTTAAGATATGTGTAAAAATGAATCAATCCAAAGATAAAATTCATTTTTTACTCCATAAAACTTGTTCCAAGTATCAATGTTAACACACTTCTCTCAATGGTATCACTGCCATCCTGGTCATTTCTCTGTGCTCACTTCTGACCCAGACCATGTTCATTTGCTCTTCCTGCTCCTGTCCTTCGTCAACCAACCACCATTAGCCAGTCCATTATTTCAACAGCCTCACAGGTCTCTGTGCTTCCAGACAGGATAGATCCTGTCTTGGCCTCTCCCACCTCCTTTCCTCTCAAATCCAGGCCACCACCAGACACCTCCTCCTAAAGCCACAAATACAGCTTTGATCATGTCTCCCCGCTGCTCAGCCTTCAGGGCTGTCCTCTGGGCCCGCCCAGCAGAGGCCAGGTGTCTCCCACAGGCACCGAGTATCCGGGTCCAGTCCACATCCCAGCCTCACTCCCCGCTCCTCCCCAGTCCAATATAACCAGGTGCACCTTGGAAAATTAAAGACTTAAGTACAATAAAAATTAAAAATTAACAACACGACTCCCCAGAAGTAAGTGCTATTGCCTGAAGTGCTCTGCCACATTTCCACACTCGCTCACCCGGTTCCTTGCCGGGAATGCCATCTCCTTCCTCATAGCCAACCCAGAACCCTCCCAAAGCTCCCCAAGATCCGCTCGCCCTGAGTCCCTCTCCCTGGCCCCCAGAGCTGACCATGCCCTTCCCGCCCATGAGCCACCATGACACTCTATCATAGTAGCCAGTCCCTCCCACATGTATTGCAGTGATGTCTAAACTTACCTTACAGTAAAACTCCCCAAGGGCAGAGACCCTGCCTCAGTTACCCAATCGTTCCTGACCTGCCCAATCCCACCACACACATCACAGACACCTAGTGAACATCTGAGGTCGGATGAAGGAAGGACTGAAGGCACGTGCTCTTTGATGTGTCCCAAGTCTTAGCCTCTGCAAGTTACCTAGCTCATCAAAGACCAAAGCCCTCCTCCCAGCTCCTCAAATTGTTCCTTTTTATACCAACTACCTGATACTCTCCGTAGGCTACTCCCCAAAGGGGAGATAACCTGACCAGGTGGAAAGGTGCCTGGGCGGGCATCGCTTACCTGTGCTTAACAGCAGCAACACTTTCATGAGGGTGTATTCTTCAAAGGTGAGCTGCAGTCGGACGAACTGCAGGCTGACCTGGTGCATGCCCTGGCACAGCTCATACATGGCAGACTGGTGCATCTTCTCTCTGCCAAGGAAAAGGGAAAAAAGGTCTGAGAAACAAGGTTCCTTGTCAAACCCAGTCCGGCAGCTCCAGGCACCCTAACGAGCTCTGTTTAAGTCAGAGTCTTCCTTTGGGTGTCAACACGGAGCAGATGTGTATTTTAAAGACAAACTGGGCCCTAACCGGTTTGGCTCAGTGGATAAAGTGTCGGCCTGTGGACTGAAGAGTCCAGGTTCGATTCTGGTCAAGGGCATGTACCTTGGTGGCGGGCACATCCCCAGTAGTGGGTGTGCACGAGGCAGCTGATCGATGTTTCTCATCGATGTTTCTAACTCTCTATCCCTCTCTCTTCCTCTTTGTAAAAAATCAATAAAATATATTTTAAAAAACAAACTGGGTGCCTTGCCCCGTGACTGGGAATGGCTTGCCGTGCTTTCATTCTGTGGTGTGCGCTATTGTGGTGAGGGCATCCAGAGAGCATCCGTTCAGTGTCTGCAGAGACCAAGCACTCACTGTCTGGAAGGACTGTGCTGGATGCTATGAACACAGGATAGTGATGACCAAATCCAGTTTCCACCTGGACTCCCCCCCCCTCCCCCCTCACATACACTTACAGAGGTCTTGAAATAAGTTTGTTAACTGTTTGAAGAAGCACCTTTAAAAAGGGAAATTAGACACAATTTGAAAAGGTGAGAACCTTGACTGGAATTTTTCTGGTAAAGGGAGAAAGCGATGTGAGAGTTTGCCAAATGTTTCCATTTATTTGACCAACCAATCCTCTTCCACCACTAAATCCAATGTTGTCATAAAAATCCACATTATGTTACGACAGAAGGCATTATTTCCTCTTTCCATTAAAATAAGGCATCACTTACAGGTTTTTAGATTATTGGCTCATAGTAATTTGGGGGAGGCCCTGGGTAACTACTAGTTTATATTGAGCAGAATATAATTAGTGAAAAACAAAAACAGTGAAAAATGGGAAAGGACTTGACAAAGGCCGAAGAAATGAACAAAAAAGGTCATGGTGGGTGATAGATGTTTATGAATAACTGAAGGCAGGGCATCTGTAGGAAAGCAACACTGTGACACCTCTCCCAGGAAGCACTCTTGGGTTCAACTGGCAGAAATCTCTCTCATCTCAACTCTGAAAGCCGTTTGTAAAGAACTCACAATGCAACCCAGAACATTCTGCTCTGCATTATGATGATGACCTCTTTCCTCTCTCATAAGCCGGAAGCTATTTTCAATGAAGGGAGTATTTAAAATACATGCACTCACGCAAACACACCCACAGACAATAACAGCAGGAGCCTATGCATCTACAATCCAGAATTAACAATGCAAATAAATGCTAATATGTTTACTATATTTGATTCACATCATTACAAATGGAACATGACAGAGCTCAGGCCTGCTGTGTCTTCCTCCCTGATCCCATTCGTCTTGCTCGTTCAAGGGATACATTCACTTTGGCTGGTTATCATTCCCGCTCAGATGTGTCTATGTTACTGCACACGTATGTATCTATAAACATAGCACACAGCACTGCTTTGTTTTAGTAAATTTGAAACTAGATTTGTACCTCCGTCTGCAACTTCTTATTCAGTGTTATAATTCTGAGATGTATCCATCTTAGCACAGATAACTCCTGAGTTCATTCATTTTCACTGCTACAAGTTTCACTTGTGTGACTGTATCACAATTCGCTAATCCATTCCACTACGGGTGGGCACTTGGGTTGTTTCCTCTTTACTGCTATTATCAGTGAGGCTCAAGGCACATCCCTGAGCACTCCTCTGGGACAGAACGAAGACGACGAGCTGCAGATCTGTGCACGTCGCTTTCCTGCTAACCAGCAGGAGATGAGAATGTCCCTTTATTCCACTTCCCCACCAATACTTGTCATTGTCCAATTTAAAATTTTTTGCCATCTGAGGGGGGTTGAAAGGGTAGCACACTGCTGATTCTATTTGCATTTCCATTATCACCAGTAGGCTGAATATTTTTCAAATGTTTTCTGAAGATGTGGGTTTTTTTGTTTGGAAATTTGTCTCTTAATATCTTTACTCATTTTATTGTAAGCCTTTTTCTCTTGCTGTTACTAATAACATTTTTTTTAAAAAATTATTTTATTTTTAATCCTCCAAATACATACATATCTATTTTTTTGAGAGAGAGAGAGAGAGAGAGAGAGAGAGAGAGAAACGTTGATGTGAGAAACTTTGATCAGCTGCCTTCCTTTCACACCTTGACAGGGGACTGAACCCACAAACTAGGTATGTGCCCTGATGGGGAATTGAATCTGCAACCTTTTGCTGTGTGGGGCATGGCTCTAACCAACTGAACCACCAGTCAGGACACTAATACCATCTTTAGTCCAAATATTTTTTGCCTTAAAATTTTTTAGTGACACTCATATTATTCCTTCATTATTCCCTCCCTTCTTTCATATCTCTTTCTTTCTTTTGCTCCATCTTTAGAATTTGCCTGGTAAGCTCTTTTTGTAAAGTTCCTTATTTCTAAACTTCCCACACAATTATATTTCACACATGTCTCTTATAAACAGCAAAAGGCTAGATTTTAAAAAAATCTTAAAGTCTTTGGATTTGAATAGCTCAGTTTTAATCTGTTTTCATTTATCTTGATTACTGATATATTTGGATTTTTTTCTACCATTTTAATGTTATCCCCTCCTTTGCTTCTTTCTTTCTGCTTTTCTTCCTTTTATTGGACTGATGCAGTTTGTTGTTTTTTAAAATCCCCCTCTTTGCTCCTGGACTGGGTTTTGAAGGTATACGTTTTATTTTTACTCTTTATTTATTTTTTTTTTAATTAAATCTTTATTGTTCAGATTATTACATTTGTTCCTCTTTTTTTCCCCCCCATAACTCCCCTCCTCCCAGCTCCCGCCCCACCCTCCGCCCTCACTCCCCACCCACTGTCCTCTTCCATAGGTGCACGATTTTTGTCCAGTCTCTTCCCGCATCTCCCACACCCCTTTCCCCCCCAAGAATAGTCAGTCCATTCCCTTTCTATGTCCCTGATTCTATTATGATCACCAGATTATTTATTCACTTGATTCTTAGATTCACTTGTTGATAGCTGCATATTTGTTGTTCATAATTTGTATCTTTACCTTTTTTTTTCTTCTTCCTCTTCTTAAAGGATACCTTTCAGCATTTCATATAATACTGGTTTGGTGGTGATGAACTCCTTTAGCTTTTCCTTATCTGTGAAGCTCTTTATCTGACCTTCCATTCTGAATGATAGCTTTTCTGGATAAAGTAATCTTGGTTGTAGGTTCTTGGTATTCATCACTTTGAATATTTCTTGCCATTCCCTTCTGGCCTGCAAAGTTTCTGTTGAGAAATCAGCTGACAGTCGTATGGGTATTCCCTTGTAGGTAACTGGGTTTCTTTCTCTTGCTGCTTTTAAGATTCTCTCTTTGTCTTTTGCTCTTGGCATTTTAATTATGATGTGTCTTGGTGTGGTCCTCTTTGGATTCCTTTTGTTTGGGGTTCTCTGCGCTTCCTGGACCTGTAGGTCTATTTCTTTCACCAGGTGGGGGAAGTTTTCTGTCATTATTTCTTTAAATAGGTTTTCAATATCTTGCTCTCTCTCATCCTCTGGCACCCCTATAATTCTGATGTTGGTGCGCTTGAAGCTGTCCCAGAGGCTCCTTACACTATCTTCATATTTTCGGATTCTTTTTTCATTTTGCTTTTCCAGTTGGGTGTTTTTTGCTTCTTCGCATTTCGAATCTTTGACTTGATTCTTGCGCTCCTCTGGTCTGCTGTTGGGTGTCTGTATAATATTCTTTATTTCAGTCAGTGTATGCTTAATTTCTAGTTGGTTCTTTATCACAACATCGAGGGTCTCATTAGATTTCTTGAGGATCTCACTACATTTATCGGCGGTCTCACCAGTCTTTTCGAGGGCCTTACTAAGTTTATCGGCAGCTTCTAGACAGTTCTTAAGAGACCTTAAAAGTGTGGTTCTGAACTCAATATCCTCCATTGACAGTTTTGTCCTGTTTCTTTGTCTCCGCATTTTTTATGCTTTCTTGGTGCACCCCCTAGTGGTCTTTGTCCGCAGTCTTGTTGCCTTTAAGCCTTGATTGATGTCGGCAATACTGGGGTGATTTGACCTCCAGGCTAACTGGCTATGAGAGTCTGCTGTGTCTGTAGTGGGAGGGCTTCTGTGCTGGATCTCTAGGGCGGTGCTAATCTAGCGTTTGCCTGAGGCTATCCGGCAAATGGCGCTGCGCAGGGCTTGGGCGGGGCGGGTCCCCGGGGATCTACAGGGCTGGCGGAACAAGCAGTTATGGCGACTCTCAGTTCCTTCCCCAGGGGCTCTGCCTCTCAGAGCCCCAGCAATGGCTGCAAACCTCGGAGAGAAAGCTGCCTTCGAGTTCCGACCGAAGCCAGACAGTCCCGTTTCTCCCGTTTGAATCTCGGTCCCCAGAGACTCGCCCGGATCTGGAGCTCAGAGTCTGAAGCTCCCTCCCGATTGAAAGCAACAACCGCGCCCTCCGCCGCCAGCCCTCTTGCACGCACTCCGCACCTGAGTATTTCACTTCAGCACTGCGCCTCCTCTGAGTCTGGGTATGATATTCTCTTTCCTCCTAGTTGTAGAATTTCCACTCAGCCAGCCTTCCCGTGGTTCTGGGTGATGTCCGTTCTGTCCTTTAGTTATATCTCTGAAGTGGTTGTTTGAGGCAGCGATCTCCGGCGTTAACCTATGCCGCCATCTTGGTTTCTCCCAGCTGATTTTCTGGATCCTTCTCAGTGTGTTTTAAGTTAAAAATCACCTGCAGTATTTTTACTCTTTAAATAAGTTGTGAACTTGCATACTTAGACAGCTAAAGCGAATCAGTAGCCTTTCCATGAGCAACAGAAACGTAGTATACTTTATCTTTGGTCTACTGCTCCCCGTCTTCCATGTTACTGCTCTTTAGTATTTAAATTCCAGCTTGTTTTCAAATCGGCCCTGAATTTTGTCTCTCCTACATATCCACACCC